CATATGATTGATTACCTTGAGTAAAGTACTAGTTTCTCTAGGTTTTTTGTTTACTATAGCATGATAAATGCAAACATATATATTTGTTTTATTTTGACATATATAATATCTCCTCATGTCAGGGTTACTGCCTAAGCTGTAAAACTAAGTTGCGTATGTTAAAAAAATGAATTGGTTATTATTAATTATAGTAGAAAAATGACAAAGTAATGTTTGGGTTGGTAAGTTTATTTTGAATGGTTTAGCCGGAGCTTTTAAATTCCTCATAATAGTTCTTCAGATAAGTTTCTATACATCAAAACAACATTTGAAGGCATTTAATAAGCAGGAGAATACTTTTTAACATGCATATCACTATAAAAAAAGATTAAAATTCCAACCGGGCAAATGTCACAAGTGAAGGCAATAAATATGAAGCTAAGAAAAAACTATATAGCATTATTACTCTTCAAAAAAATAGAAATTAAAACAATAAGAATTCTAGCCTATCAAACCAATAGAAATTTAAAGAGAAATAAAAATATAAAATCTGTTGTTAGTAAGTAGTGATAAAATGGATACACTCTTAATGATTTATGGAAAAGTAATGAACTTATATGCACCAACCAGCTTTGTCATATCTTAATGTTTAGCCACATTTGGTTTAGTTATAAGAGACTTGAAAAATATATTTAAAAGCAAATTGCAGAGAGATTTAAAAAATCTATCTTTGCAAACTGTTACATTGAAAATCAGAGAGTTGTGTAGATTCATTTCAAATATGCAGTATCTTTAGAATATTTGATAAGAGGTTGTGCACTTGAACAACCTGTTAAACTGTTTGTTAACTGTTTAATTATAATCAAAATTTATGTTTATTTACATATATTTACCTTGAATGAATTCATTCATTTTTTTTGACAGTACTGATTACCTGTAGTGTTCAAGACTGATAAGCACAGGGTGTGTAGTGAGCAGAACAAGGTGTGAGCCCTGCCATCATGGAGTACAGAACCTCCTGGATGATGTACACTTAGACAATTTCACAAGTAAATTAGGCTATAACACATGCTATGGAGAAAACATAGGAAGTGCTAGGGAAGGAGGAATGCTTTAGATTTTTATTTTTAAGACTGAAGAGATGCTATCTGAGGACTTGAAGCAAGTGAGTGCTATGATCTAACCTACATTTAAAAACAATCACTTGCCGCCATGTGGAGAATATTTTAAGAGTAACAGCAAGGATACCTACTAGGAAGCAATTGCAGCAGATTGCCCAAGACAAAATAGTTGTCATGGACTAGGAGGATGGTGCTGGTAGCAGTGGTAGGTGTTGGATTTAGGGTGTATTTTGAATATAGGCAAATGGCACAAGATTGTGGGTCAGTTTTGAATGCCTATGTAATTTTTCTTTGTAAGACATTTTAGGATGGATGCCATGTTAAATATCTGTATTATAACTATCACTTAGAAAAACCCAAATATTTCTTAAACATCATTTCTCGTGTGGCATTACTGTGTCAAAAGCTATGAACAATTGTATGGCTCTAGATAAGTGCTATAATTGTTTTCCAAAAGCATTCATTGTGCCTGTTTCTTGTATCACCAGAAATATTTGAATTCTATCTACAGTTTATTCTTGTGAATAAGTTATTATTATATTATTACATTTCATTCAGAAAAGTTTTTTACTACTTCAGTAGAAAAAAATGTACTTTAGCTAGGAGTGAGGGGAAATATGGAAAGAATAACATTCTTTGATTTAATTTTTTACTGTGTTAAAGTGATTTTATTTTATCCTAAGTTTCCTAAGGAGTCTAACAAATATGGGCATGATCTAAAATTTACCTTTTTGAAAGGCCAGAGAGAATGCTCATTAAAAACATCTTGATCTTTTCTTTGCTCGTCATTACTAGTTTCATTTTAGAATTTGTTTTTAAATTGGTTGTGCTTTGATATTCAGTACTTTCTCAGAATGATGTTTTTATTTTAATGTAAAGAGAATGAATAATATGTGTTGAAATAGCAAAACCACTAATGTCCCACATTACAGATTGAGTGTTCCTCATCCAAAATGCATGGGACCAGAGTATTTTGGATTTGGGATTTTCAGATGAGGGATGCACAACTCACATTGGTAAGTTAAGAAAATGAGGAGACAGTAGCGGATAAGGAAGTCTTTGGTCAGCTTTATATGCTCCATAGCCATGCCTGGGTCATGGATTGATAGTAAGATACTGTACTGCTCCCAAATCCTGGTTTTTCATTATTATTCAAAAACACTAGTTTTCCGTTTATAATATATGAGAGTTCTTTCCAGTAGTTAATTAAGGGAATAGGCTAAAATAGGAAAATGGCAACCAAATGTTGAAATCTTTGTTAAAGAGCTTCTTGTTTAGAAAATAAATATCCATCCTTTTTGTCTGAGATAATTAATTTTTATTATGGAATTTGGAAAATACAGTATACTTTAAGAGAAAAGCAAGAGATCATAGTCTAATATGGTAGTTTTTTACACTTTTTAGAATTGTAAACTAAAGGAAAATACATTTAATATAGCATCTTATATAAAAAAGATAAATATCTCTTAAATTATCTCTGTCAAAGACATAACCTTTATTAGCATTTTTGATGTATATACCATCAGTTCTTAAATGCATATACAATGCATTTATACAAATATGTAAACTAATTTTGGGGGGATCATGCTACATATGTATTTTTGTATTCTCATAGTAAATATTTTTCAGACATTTTACTATAACTATGATTTTTAATGACCATTTTCTCTGTCTCTTAATGATAGAATGGTCTAAATTATTTCATGAACTAACAGTACTTTAGTACTGCAGCCTGCATGTGAAACATTAAGAAATAACTGTTGCCGGGCTCGGTGGCTCAGCCTGTAATCCCGCACCTTGGGAGGCTGAGGTGAGTGAATTGCCTGAGCCCACAGGTTCGAGACCCACCTGGGCAACTTGGCGAGACCTCATCTCTACAATAAAAATCAAAAATCAGCTGAGCGTGGTAGCACGCACCTGTAGTTCCTGCTACTGGGAAGGCTGAGGCGGAAGGATCGCTGGAGCCCAGCAGGTCGAGGCTGCGGTGGCCGGGAGTGGCCACTGCACTCCACTCTGGGAGTGGCCACTGCACTCCACTCTGGGCGACTGAGTGAGACTCCAACTCAAAAAAAAAAGAAAGAAAAGAAATAATTGTCATTATGTTTATACTTTATACCCATTGTTAGTCCTGCCTCTTACTCCTTGTCTTCACATTGTACCATCCCCTTCCTTACTTTTTTAAAAGCCTGTTTTGGCAGAATGTATATTTTAGCCATAAGTATTACTTGATTTTCATTTCAAGATTCTGTTAATGTTACCCCTTCCTTTATTCAGTCTTATAGTTACATAGTATCTTTTAAGATCTATCTCTCTTTTGCTTAGATTCCTCTCCAAATTTGCACTTGAAACTGTGTTCTTTAGAGTTATAGTATCCATTTGGCTATAAGATACTTTTCCCAGGTTTTTCAGAAATGGGTTGAGGGCATTAGAACCTTGAGTATGGACCATTCTCTTATGTATTCTTTTGACTATAAATCAAAGACTCATGAAAATTATTTGTAAGCTGATTGATTTTTCTTGCAATCTGAATATCTTGAATAATAGAATTGGTAGAGCTGTCCCATTTTTTGTAAGCATTTTCTTTTATAGGTATTTTTTTTTTTTTGGCTACCTATCTGTTAAGGGACACTTAAGTTGTTTCTGCATTTTGGCTATTGTAAATGTACACTTGCATTGCTGAATCTCGTATAACACCTTTTAAAAAAATCTTTTTTGTGGTGAAATATGCATAACATAAAATTTACTATTGTAGTTATTTTAAAGTGTACAATTCAGTGGCCTTCAGTACATTCATAATGTTGTCCAACCATCAAAGTATTGTGTGACCATTAGTACTGTCTATTTTCTGAACTTTTTTACCATCCCAGGGAAAAACTCTACCTCTTGAACAATAACTCCCCAATTCTCCCTTCCTTAGCCCCAGTATCCTGTATTCTCTTTTTGAATTTGCTTATTATAGATGCTTCATATAAATGTAATCATGTAATCTTTGTTCTTTTGTGTCTGACTTCACTTAGCATGTTTTCAAAGTTCATCTGTGTTGCAGCCTGTACAGGTTGAGCATCCTTTATCTGTAATGCATGGGACCAGCAGTGTTTCACATTTCAGATGTTTTTGGATTTTGGAATATTTGCAGATACTTAACTGGTTCAGCATCCCTAATCCAGAAATCTGAAATCAGAAATGATCTAGTGAGCAGTTTCTTTGAGTATCTTGTTGGCTTCAGAAAGTTTCAGATTTTGGAGTAATTTGGATTTTAGATTTTTGGATTAGGGATACTTAACCTGTATCGGAATGTTATTCCTTTTTATGGCTAAATATTGGTTCCACTTTACATACTACATTTTGCTTATCCACTTATTTGTTAATGGAGACTTGAGTTGTTTCTACATTTTGGCTGTTGTAAATTGTGCTGCTATGAACATTGTTGTACAAATACTTGTTTCATTCTCTGCTTTCAGTTCTTTTGGTTATATACCTAGGAATGGAATTGTTGGGTCATATAGTAATTTTATGTTTAACTTTTTGAGGAGCTGCCCAACTGTTTTCTACAATGACAGCTCCATTTTACATTCCCACTTGCAGTGTACAAGGATTCCAGTTTTTCCACATCTTTGTCAACAGTATTTTTCATTTTTCAGTTTTGTATTTAAATAATAGCCAGTTCTAATGGATGTGAGGTGTATCTCATAGATTTGATTTGTTTCTCCATAATGACTGATAACGTTGACCATCTTTTCATGTGCAAGACCATTTGTTTATCTTCTTTGGAGAAATATCTATTCAGGTCCTTTGCCCATTTTTGAATTGGGTTGTCTTTTTGTTGCTGAGTTGTAATAACACCTTTTTAAAAGTAAAAGGTGCACTTTAATAATCCAGACTGTGTTTCTCCTTTCTCAGGATTCCTACAGGAAGCAAGTAGTAATTGATGGAGAAACCTGTCTCTTGGATATTCTCGACACAGCAGGTCAAGAGGAGTACAGTGCAATGAGGGACCAGTACATGAGGACTGGGGAGGGCTTTCTTTGTGTATTTGCCATAAATAATACTAAATCATTTGAAGATATTCACCATTATAGGTGGGTTTAAATTGAATATAATAGATTGGCATTGAGAAGTAATTATAGTTTTTATTTATTGAGGCTTTGCTCACTGCCATGCATATATTATCTCATTTGAGTTTTAAACGAATTTTTGTGAGGTAGGTAATAACCCTATTTTATAAGTGAATTTTGTGAGGATTACAGCGGTGGGGTCACTTTTAGAAATTGCAGAGAGAGGTGGTGCTGGGATAGAAACCTAGGCCTATTTGGCCCCCACATCTTCTATACTCATAACTACTCTTCACTAGAGAAGCAAGACTTCAAACTTTTTAGAAACATCCTAAAAATGAAAACCATAAATAAAATACGAAAAGGTGATTTGAGGTGGTATCACTTGAATAGTCTTAGAAATATAATCATGTATGTTTAGTATAGAATTTCTTGGATAAACAATGGCCTCACATATTTTATTTAAAAAATATAACACTGAGGTTGTAAAAGATTGAAGAGTTAGAGCAGTTACAGTTTTTTTTTAAAATCTGAGAAGTCTGCAGAAAATCGACTACTTAAAAATAATTATTATTGTGTTAAATACATTTTATATTCTGTTTCTTTGAGGGTTTACAGTTCTCATAAAACTGCATATTAAGCAAATATAACATTCATTGGCTATGTAATGTAATAGTTAGCCTAGTTAAGAGATTTAACATTTTATTTAAGAACATTTATTATAGCATGTTTCCTCATAGTAGTAGAGAAAAATAAATTTTGGTGGGTGGTAGTAATTTTATAGTGTAGTAAAAGGTGAAATTTGGTAACTTACCCAAGTAGAGGAACTGGGAAATTGAACCAATTTGACTGTTGTCTACTATGCTCCTTCTTCCATGTTGTATTTTTGAAAATCAAACATTGTGAGGGAGTGTAATTTTACCCCAGATTTAGAGTTTATGTACATCTTATATTGGAAATTAACAATACATAGAAGTGCTTTTAACAGAAAAAACAGTGTAGTAATTCAGTTGTCCACCTAGAAATCAAAAATCTTTCCACTTGTCAATTTGTTTTTTGAGAAAGTAATATGAAAGTTATGTTAATTCTGTAATTCAGTTTTTGTCAAAATATTTTTATACATATACATTTAACCACACATATACGTTTCTAAGCTTATAGTTTTTTAAGTTAGGTACAGCACTTTTGGTCTAGAATTTTTGAGAATTTTCTGTTTATCATTATGATCTCCCTGCATATAAACCTATTATATTAGAGTTTTACTAGGCGTCTGGATAGTTAATTTTTAAAAAGATGTATAAGGTCTCTGTTTAAGATGGAGAAGAAAATAACTAGAAGGAAATACAAGGAAAATTTGGTGTAGTGGAAATTAGGAATTAATTACATTAAAAGTTTTCTTTCCACCAAATTTTATAAGATAAAAGTTGTAGACAGTTTTTGAAGGATATTTGTGTTACTAATCCCTCTGCTATACCTTTTTTTTTCCTTCTCCAGAGAACAAATTAAAAGAGTTAAAGACTCTGAAGATGTACCTATGGTCCTAGTAGGAAATAAATGTGATTTACCTTCTAGAACAGTAGACACAAAACAGGCTCAGGACTTAGCAAGAAGTTATGGAATTCCTTTTATTGAAACATCAGCAAAGACAAGACAGGTAAGTAAAACTGGAATAAATACAAATCTGTTTTCTGCAAAATATATCAAGTGATTTTAGTCATTAATCATAATTTACTAATACATATTCTAATAACATGATTTTGGGTGGCAAGAGGGCAAGGACATTAATAAACATACATACCTGATAGCATAACTGTTATTATATCGTTAAATGTGATTTATCAGTTCTCCACTATGCTTTAGTAGGTTATAAAACAATGTTTACTTGGTAAGTGCTCTGCTCTCTTGAGAGGGCAGTGCTGCTTAACCCATTGTCTACGACACTACTTTTGACTTGGGTTTCTTTCTACATTGAAAATTTCTCTTAACTCTGAGCATATCTTACATTTAGAATTCAAGAGACATAGGATTTTTTTTTCTCATATACATATAGATAAACATAAAGACAAGAAACAGATTTTGAGTCTGCTATTTTAGATGTGCTTTTAAGACTGTTATGTCATGTTTCTAGATTGAATTTTGTTGTATTTGAGGAATTTTACTTTGGCAGAATTTGGGAGGGATATATTTGTTTTTGGAGAAAGTTTTCATTAAAGCAAGAGAATACTTAGAAAGTAAATAGAAATTCTCACTTACTGATTTACTGCATTGTTCTGACAAAAATTAATGCCAGATGGAATCTCAGTTTTCTTAGAAAACCATCTTCACTTTTAAAATCACTTTTTCTCTAGATAAAATAAAATAATTTCAGTTGATATTATTATTTAACTTATTTGTATGAAATAAGAGTTTAGCATATAGGAAAAAAATTCTAGAAAGGACATCATAAAGATCTGAAGGAATATAATTCATATACAGTCATGAATTGCTTAACCACAGGGATGCATTCTGAGAAATGCATTGTTAGACAATTTCGTCATTGTGCAAACATCATAGCGTGTACTTACACAAACCTAGATCTAGACTATATGGTATAGCCTCTTCCTTGGCTATAAACTTATACAACATGTTACTGTGCTGAGTACTATAGGCAGTTATGCTACAGTGATAGTTGTTTATGTATCTAAACATAGAAAAGTTACAGTAAAAATTCAGTATAAAAGATTAAAAATGTGTCCTATGCACACCTGCATAGGACACTCACTGTGAACGGAGCTTGCAGGACTGTAAGTTGTTCTTGGTCTGTCAGTGAGTGAGTGGTGAGTGAATGTGAAGGTATTAGACATTACTGCACACTAAGGTAGACTTTATAAACACCATATTCTTAGGATACACCAAGTTTATTTTAAAATCTCTTCAATAAGTTAACCTTAGCTTATTGTAAACTTTCCACTTTACACATTTTAAAATTTTTCCTAACTTTTTGACTCTTATAGTAACAACTTAAAACACAAACACATCGTGCAGCTAGGTGTACAAAAATACTTCGTTTATGTCCTTATTTTATAAGCTTTTTAAATTACACATTTAAAAAAATCTTTTTACTTTTTCAATTTTTTAAATTAAAAATGAAGACATGCATACACATTAGCCTAGGCCTACACAAAGTCAGGATCATCGAGATCGCTGACTTATGCCTCCCCATCTTGTCCCACTGGAGGGTCTTCAGGAACAGTGACACATATGGACCTGCCATGCCCTAAGATGACAACGCCTTCTTCTGGAATGCCCCCTGAAGGACCTGCTTGAGGCTGTTTTACAGTTAACTTTTTAAAAAAATAAGTAGTGGAAGGAGTACACTCTAATCATAAAAATTGAAGTGTAATAAATACATTAGCCAATACATAGTCATTTGCTACCATTATCAAGTATTATGTACTGTACATAATTGTATGTACTATACTTTTATGCGATTGGCAGTGAAGTAAGTTTCTTTACACCAGATCACCACAAACATGTGAGTAATGCATTGTGCTACAGCATCACTAGGCAATAGGAATTTTTCAGCTCCATTATAATCTCAGGGACCACTGTAATATATGCAGACAGTTATTGACCAAAAATTCATTATGTGGCATATGACTATACTTAGAAATTGATCCAATTCATATTCTATAAATTTGTTTAGGGCTTTTTTCTGGTTACTTGTACCTCTGAATCCACAAAACTGATTTTGTAGAATTTAACTTCTGTAATCTTAAGAATTAAGAAAATTTGAAGAACAACTCCTTATATAGCTAAGTGTACAAAAACCAAGTATTCTAGAAAGTTTATTAAATTTGAAGCATAAAATTTAAAATGTAAATCATTATTCAGCTAGTATACTTATTTCTCTAGTGGGAGATCATATGTAGCTCCTGTTAATTATGCAAATTTGGTACATGGTAAAGAAACAATAAATTCTATTCTAGGTCCTTGTTTTGAGGTTAAAAACTAGATTTCTGTAGTTTGACCATCATACAAATTTCTCTGGCAGTTTATTAAAATATGATGTATAGGTTAAAGAAAGACCTGGTAATCATCACTTTACTTTAGAGGAATTAAGATTTCATTCAAATCCATTTCCAGGTTTTAGTGACTAGAAAGAAACTTAGTTTTTTTCTTCTTTTTAGTGATCTTCTCTGACCAGTCTCCTTGCTTTTTCTTAGGAGAGAAAGTACTGAGAATGCATGATTCTAATATTCATAGCTTTTTTTCCCAACATTTTTTTGAAACATTTTCAAATATAAAATTGAAGAAATTTGATGAAAACATTTGGAAACCTACTACCTAGATTCTATCATTATTATTTCACTGTACTTGCATTATTTAGAACTTTTAAAGTGTGCTTTTTAGACTAAGAATTTTAGCTTACGTTTCACAAAGAAAAGAAAAAATTTGAGAGATTTTGCCTAATGTTGTAGAAGGTTGTAACAGAGAAGTGGTTTCATATTTTTATATGCATACAAATCAACTGGACTTATTTAAATCCTGGTTCTAACTTAGTGTTTTTAAGTTGCGACCATGATTCTGCATTTCTAACAAACTCCCAGGTGATATCTTGGTACACAAACCATACTTTGAGTAGAATAAAGCACAATAGAAGACTGTAAAATGAGTCTCCACAGTGTTGCTCTCCACTTCTTAGCTGATAACCCAAAATAACTGACTCCTTTTTTGTTGTAGTATTACTACCTCAGAAGTACTAATTTGACTCTTGTTGTTTGACATTAGTAGTTTAATATAACATAACATTCCTGTTTGATCAGAAAACTATCTGACTTCTTTTTAAAATAGATATTTAGGTTTTATACTATTTTGTGACCTTGGGTTTTTTGTTTTGTTTTTTTGAAGCATATACTATGTAAAGTAGATGAACTTAAATTTGTTTTACAGACATTTATGTGGATCATCTAATTAAAATATAGAGGGATGTAATATAAAAGAATACTTGTATTAATGTAGCATTCAACCTTTGTATATTTATATCCTGTTTATTGATGTCTTTATGTAATTTATGTTGCTAAACTGTAAATATTTAATTCATGTTCTTTGATTTCCTTTTATTATTAAATGGACTTGTTGATTTGCTTAGAAATTAATTTGCCTTTGAAAAGTTTATTCATCTTCCTCTGTTGAAATTAATTTGATATTTGCATGCTTTTGGAAGACTCTAAAGAATGATTCCAAGCAATGGTAGAGATGATAAAATCATGTAAATTTTAATAAATTTTGCCTCCAGTTTTTGTGAAAATGTGAAGCCCTACTTTGTGCAGAGTATTTTATTTGTTACTCATCTGTTATTCAGTTTACTTGTATTTTATCAGCAACTTGTCTTATGCCCTAATTTTGGGTCTTGATCATGAGCTTAAAATATAAACACCAAGAAGAATTATATTGAAGTTATAGGAACAAAACATTTATTTAGAAGTTCTCATCAATGTAAGTCAGAGGCTGGCAACTTGGCCAGATAGTAAATATTTTAGGTTGTGAGGGCCATAAGTGTTACCTGTTGCATTTTCTAAAAAGTATAACCTGCTAAAAATGCAAAAATCGTTGTTAGTTTGTGATAGTACAGAAATAGGCTGTGGCTGCGTTTGGCCTATGAGTTGTAGTATTCTGATTCTCTGGATAACTTTAGTGTTTGATTAGATACTAGAAGTTAGGTCAGACTTTGAACTTTAATTTTATAGGCTAACCTTAATAAAGTGAAACTTACATGTTTTAAGAAAAGGAAATGTAAATTTTACCCTAGTACTTTTAAGATACAGGTTGTAGAATGTATATTTTTACCTGCTTATTTACTGTGTAATTTTTAAAAGCCCTTTACCTGGCTAGAATATAATACATTGTATATTCCTTAAAATCAGTTTAGTCTACATCTGAAAGGCAGAGGGAGTTATTTTCTGCTAGTATGTTGTATGTGATCTGTATGTTCCTCGTGTATAAGGACTGCTACCTGATTTACATTCGGTTGTTAATTGACAGATCTTTCTGGTCCCTTTGGACAGTGCATGACAGTGTTTGCAAAGGTTGAAACTGAAACACTGACACCAGGGGAATTATGTGTTTTCCAGGCTGATAAAATAAATTGGGGAAGGTTCAGTAAAATGAATGACAGAAACAGTTCTCAGAGTATCTGCTACTCCTCATGTGACTTTTTTGCTTTCTGAGAATCTCAATTTGAACATAATATAAAATTAGCTTTAAATTTAAAAATATTACATGATTAGTTTCCTATTTTTGTTAATTTCTAGATATTTAAAATTAGTTGTTAGAAGAACTCCATTAAACAAAGCTTCTAATGAAATTATTTTAACAAAGCAGGAAAAAAAAACCTTACATGCTATATCTGTCTGCTTTAAAGTCGATGAGTTTGTGTACTTTGAGATATTTTGAACTTTAGCTTTTTATGAGTTAAAATGGATAAAACAGACACTGAATGCCTCCTCTGCATGATGGCTTCCCAAATAGTGGTTATTGCTGCATTTCAGTAGTATCTGAGATGAGCTATATTTTGGCAAGGTTTCTTGAGAAGGTCAAGGATGTAAAGCTGCAAAGCTGGTTTTTAGAATACGTCTTGTTCCTCCATTCCCCTCCCAAAAGAAGGCTGGTATTCTTGCATCTGTATATAGTTGAGTATTTGATAGGCTATTTCCTTGACACGATTTTGCAAGAAGTTTTGCAGATTTGATCGACAGGAACCAGTACTTGTTTAAAACAAAATCTTTTAGTAAAAACCTAGGCACCAGGAGGTAGAATGATACTTTTGGTTGGTAGTTTGTTTTCTCTGTTTGGAGTGCACTGTTTCCAAAGCTTCACAATTATGTTTTCAGATAATAGTTGAGCTGAAAATAATGTCAAATCTATTGATTTTTAAAAATTTACATATTTAAACTTTACACTTTTGTTCCTACACTTATATTTTCAGTTCTTAGAGATTAGTGACATTTGAAAATGAGTATATGTGGCTACAAGCCATATTCTCAAAATGAGTCATTGAGTGCCATTTAAGATCTTAGTGACTAGCCACAGTGGGTATTAAATAACTCTTTTGACTATACTTTATCTCAAAAAATTATCTACACATTTTATTATATGAAACCAGTGTTCTGTGCCATAGGTGTATACTGTATACAGTTTTTTTAAGAGCTAGTGTCAGTGGCTTAAGGTGCACACAAGAATAAATAACAATGTTTTCATGATGTCAGTATGACTTTAAAGCATATTATCAAGAAATAATTTAAATATGAAAAACTATGGTAAATGACTGATTCTTTAAAATGTAAATTTCATATTAGTAAAAATAAGAAATGAAAAAAAGTCACTCTTGTGTTGTTAATTATCTGAGCCAGTGAAGTCCTATCATTGAATTCTTGGTGGTGGGTAGTAATCTCTTCTTTTTAATTATTGGCTTCCAATTCTCTCTGCATTGCTGGAAACAAAAATCATATATTTTGTTATTGGTGATGGGGATGCTCACACTGAAAAAGTACACACGTTCAAACTGATTTTAGAGATAAGTTGCAATCAAAATTTGCTTTTGTGAAATTAGTAGAGGACCAATGCTGGTTTTTTCCCTCATAGCATGTTTTGGTACTTCTACATTTGCCTTGTAGCTTTTTTTTAAACAGGAATAAAAATTTATATTCTTAAAAAATTTAAGAAAATATGAGCTTTTACCTGGTTTGTATATATAGATACACATATTTAAATTTCTTGCATTGATTTTCAAGTTGGAAAGAAAATCATTTGTGAAAATATCATAAGTGACAGAACTCACACTTCACATTTTACATGCTACAAAAGTTATTTTAATGCCTTAAATTACTTATGTTGCTTAATAATGAAAATTTTCTAACATACATATATATTTTTTTCAAGAACCAGTGAGTAAAAACAATAAACCCTTTCCTTTTGAGGATTAATGACAATTATAAACTTAAAGCTTTTGTGTACAAATATAAGTGGGGACTAATTTAAAGTGCCAACATATGTTTAATGATTTGAACAAGTGGTTGCAAGTTTTTATTTCTAGTTGGTTTGGCTAGCTATTTGTTATTAGTTAGTTGAATTGAAATGTATCACTGGATAGCATATGTTAGTGATTTGAGGTATGCATTTTAATATGTAATCCCATTGCTTAAATGCTTGCTTTTTAACTGAAAATTTTATGAATTTTAAAGTTTGATCTTTTTATGGCTTCTGCATGCAAAAAACTTAAGCCCCAGTCCAATCCTAGCCATTGGCTTACTTTGATTAATACTTAGTGGCCAATTTTCTGTGCTTGATTGAATTTAAAAATACAAATCATTCTGTTGATATATATTCGCTTTTTAGTTGCTGAATCTATTTTGTCACATTTGGTTCAGTAGATATATTGATGTTACCAGTTCCAGAAGGTTAAAATATGCCAATCCCAAAACTGAGTACTTCATTCTTAAAGTGGAAAGAACGGAATATGCTTAAAACTGAATGTGCAGTAAAATATACCAGCTTTTCTCTAAGCACTTACCTCTTTCTTTTAGAAGAATGAACACAAATATTATATCTTTTAGTTTGTACTACATGTAGATTAATATTTCTGTGCATTTTTTAATTAGATGTACACTTCTACTTTGGCAGTGTAGTTTCCTGGACAAACTAACAGCATAGTTAACTAAGTACTCTGTCCCCTTTGGCTACTGCCTAATTTTCTAAATTGGAAAAGATCAAAAACTTTATCTTCATATGACCATATATAATTGTGCCTGTTGTCATAAAACTTTCTTACTGCCTTAAGCTGGAAAAGCCTCTTCAGCATATTTAAATTAAAATAGAAGTTACAGAGCCATTATGACTGGACATACAAATTATTCTTAATATTTGTAGTAAGGATTCAAAATGCTCCTATATGTGTGTGTATTTTAAACAATTCATGATGTTTTTACATTAGGGTAAGCAGCCCTCATTTAAGATTTTTAATTAAAAAATGTAGTCATCCACAAAAGTCCACTCTCAGCTCCACTTATGGATCCTGGCTATATTCTCGAAAGTGTTATACTTGAAAATAAAACTCAAAATTTCAATCTCTTGACTCACCTCATTTTGAGGTGCTTTAATGTGTTTTGTTTTGAACAATGGTTATACATCCATATGATACCATTTTTCTTCCTACTCTTCACTGGAGGGAGGAGGATGGTAATAAGTAGTATGTGAATCATCCTTTTTTTCCCTAAGTCAAATAAATATTCTGTTTTATTTATTTTAAAGCAAAGAAGTATTTTACACCTAATTTCAGTTTAGGCTTTAATTCCAAGACTAGCAAATTGCACTAAAATGATTGCATTAATTGATAAACATATACTAATACATGTACTTAGGCTTTTTATAATCTCTCCTAATTCCTTATGAAAATTTTAAAAAATTCTAATTCCATTAGAAAACAAAACTGACTTTTAAGAACAAACCAGGATTCTAGCCCATATTTTAAAATTGCATCCTCAATTTTATTCAAACAATCTGATATCTGTTTAAAAAAAATTCTCAAGTAAAGCTCGTAATTTCAAACTTCTTGCACATGGCTGTTCCAATAAATTACTCCTACCAATGAAACAGACTTTAAAGAAGTTGTGTTTTACAATGCAGAGAGTGGAGGATGCTTTTTATACATTGGTGAGAGAGATCCGACAATACAGATTGAAAAAAATCAGCAAAGAAGAAAAGACTCCTGGCTGTGTGAAAATTAAAAAATGCATTATAATGTAATCTGGTAAGTTCAGTATATTAATTTTGGCAGAAAGCACGTCTTTCAAAGGTAACAAAGTAGCAATGACTTTGGAACTGCTTAGGGGTGGTATTCTAATTTGTATTGAAAGATAGGAAACTTATAGTTTGTTTCCATAATTAGTACATTTATTTTTCATCTAGTAGGAATTAATTATAATTGAGACATTTTCCTGGCTATAGTAGGTTAGTTAATCTACATTCAGCATAAAGTCTAATGATTTAATTAGTCTTAAGTAAACTGAGCATTTGGGAACTGATGTTTACCTTTATTTTTTTATTTGTTAAGTTAGAGTCTCATTCTGTCACCCAGGCTGGAGTGCAGTGGCATGCTCATGGCCACTGCAGCCTCGACCTGCTGAACTCCAGCGATCCTTCTACCTCAGCCTTCCAAGTAGCTGGAACTACAGGTGTGCGCCTCCACACCTGGCTAATTTTTATGATTTATTGTAGAGATGAGGTCTCACCAAGTTGCCCAAGCTGGTCTCAAATCCCCTTCCAAAGTGCTGGAGTTACAGGCATAAGCCACCGTGCCTAGCTTTACCTTTATTTTTAAGGCAAATCAGATTCAAGTTTTGAGATAATCAGCAGTTTTTTTGGGTTTTTTTTGGGAAAAACATGTAGGAAATGGAGAGCAGTAAGATGGAGTGGCCCAAAAAAGTGGGAAAAAGCCACTCTTACAATATTTTTTGTTTTGTTTTTTGGATGTTTCATAAGCAAATAATTATTCTTGTGTTCCTCAACTCAGTGGCATCAACAGCACTTTTTTACCCAAGTGAGAAATCTGGGAGTTTTAGGATGACTCCTACCTCCCTATTTTTCATGTCCATTAGGAAGCATCCACAAATTTCTATGATTTACTTTCTGTGTCTTTCATCACATTAGTTCAGGCTCCTATTGTCTCTTGCTGCACTATTACAACCTCCTATTTGATTTACCTGATGTTGCCATCATTCATTGTGCAACCAGAGACATATATTTAAAAGAAGTTTCATTCTCTTATCTTTAAACCTAGGCACTAACTTACCTATAGAATAAAATCACTAGTTTCACAGCATGTCATATGTTGCCCTTACTTAAACCTTCTTACCTCTGCATTCCCCCCACCCCTTTTCTTTCTTTTTTTTGTCTTTTATCTAAAAAGCTGTCATCTTGATTGAATTTTATGTCTTCATGTAAACACCATGTCATTTCTTATCTTTCCTTGATTCTTGGCTCATGTTTGAAATGCCAAGGTTCTTATGCCTAGTCTTAGTTAATTAGCTAACACTCTTTCAGGGCTTCCCAATCTCCTATTCTTTAAAAAATCTTTTTTTAAATCCTTAGACAGGGCATAGTGCCCTTCTTGTGTATTTCTCATATACTATTCTTAACTTATTATATGCTTCCCATGTTAAATTGAAGTAGTTTCTTTTAAGTTTCATTCCTGTATTAGACAGTAAACTCTTAGAAGCCAGGATCGATCATATATTTTTAGTTTTTACATGCCCATTGCCTAGTAAGGTTCCTGGCACATGGTAACTATCCAGTAAAGATTTATTGCGTGGAATATTTCATTTTCCTTTCTAAACTAACTCATATTATGTCTTGCTCAGAAAATACTTCATTTAATTGGTGTCATAATGTTCATACCAGAGCTTAAGCTTTTGATGCATATTGTTTGTAATATGTAATGTTCTGTGAGAATATGAAATCAAATTAGTTTTCAAAAACTACTAGGATATCATTTATTGTACCTATTTCAAGTTGTTGTTTTTTATTATATGAATTTTAGGTATCCCTCAAAAGCATAAAATATACCTCTAAGCCGGGCTTGGTGGCTCAGTCTGTAATCCCGCTCCTTTGGGAGGCTGAGGCGAGTGGATTGCCTGAGCCCACGGGTTCGAGACCCGCCTTGGCAGTGACACCTCATCTCTACAATAAATCAAACAATCAGCCGGGTGTGGTAGCGCATGCCTGTAATTCCAGCTACTTGGAAGGCTGAGGCGGATCGCTGGAGCCCAGCAGGTTGAGGCTGCGGTGGCCGGGAGCGGCCACTGCACTCCAGTCTGGGCGACAGAGTGAGACTCCAACTCAAAAAAAAAAACAAAACTGAGTCTAAATGGCAGACTCAGTTCCAAAAGATATTATGTGGTGTGATAATCTACAGACGAAACAAAACATTTTTATTGAGATTTATGAACTCTTAATATTTTTTGAGTATCATTGTGTAAAACAGTTATTTTAATTTAGAATTTGTGGTAGAATTTAACATTACAATGCAATTTGAAACAAAGCTAAACTGTTTAGGCCAGCGCAGTGGCTTGCTCACTTTGGGAGGCTGAGGTGGGAGGATTTCCTGAGCCCAGGAGTTCGAGGTCAGTCTGGGCAACATGGTGAGACCTCTTCTCTACAAAAAAAATTTAAAAAATTAGCCAGGCAATGTGGCACATGCCTGTATTTCCAGCTACTCAGGAGGCTGAGGCAGAAGGATTGCTTGAGCCTAGAAAGTTAAGGCTACAGTGAGCTATGACCATGCCACTGCATTTCAGTCTGGGTGACAGACTCAAAAAAAGAAAAATGAAAAGAAAAGAAAATTTAAACTTTCAAAATAACAGTACCAGAATTTGTGGTTTTAATTTTTTATTTTCTCCTCCTATTGTCTCACCATTAGATAATTTAAAAAATAAAACTATTTAAAAAATAAGTTTTATGCTCTAACATATTTAAAACAAAGGTATAAGCATATACTATTCTAAAATTTTTAATTTGTGCAGGCTGTGTTTTCATAGTGACTGTAATGTGAATGTTAGATAACTGACATGATAACTCACCTTGTTTTTTCAGTGGACATGGATATTTCTATTAAAAAGTATACTTGGCAAGATTTTAAAATGTAAAGTTAAATACAAATTTTAAACAATTAATTTAAACTGGATATGGTGGCATGTGCCAGGAGTCTGCTTGCTTTGAGCCCAGGAGTTCAAGGCTACAGTGAGATATAATCACACCACCCCACTCCAGCCTGGGTGACAGAGTGAGACCTCATCTCATTAAAAAAAAAAGTAAAAGTTTTAAAACTTTGACAGTGATAAATACAAATTGGTTTTTCTTAATCCAGAAAAAGATAACATTTAAGCAAATTAATTACTGGGATACTACTTTTATCTTTATGTGTATGTGCAAGAGTAATTAGTTCTCATATAAGAAAAAAGAATTCACTGCCCTGCTTAAGTTAATTGTGACATTTCTCTAATCATTGAAATTATTTAATTGTGATATGATTATATAGAAAAGAGAATTCAGAGTAACATGGGCCTGTTTGTCAAAATCTTACAAAAAGGTAATATCAAATTCTGTCATCATCTCTTAAATATTTATATACTGTCTTCACCACAGAATATGTCTTCTCTCTATCCATCTCATGATTTTTCATTTTTTCCTGCTTTATCACTTTAGTACCATTGGCATATTTCTACATTATGAAAGCAACTGAAATGGAGTACACTACATAAGGATGTGTGATCAAAGGGAATTAATTCTTGAAAGAAAGAGGAGTTTGATTAAATTTTCTTAATTCCCATCACATTCTAAGGGTTTATGATTCTAAATTGCCAAATGTTATTGAGCTATAGAATAATCTTTATCATATCATTGGATCTTTTTCCCTCTGCATGTTTTAAGTAAATTAGCATGAAAAGATACACATGAAATTGTCTTGATTGTATTGCTGATAAATGATTTCTTACCACTTTTCCTTTCTCCTTTTGGAGAAACAAAAGCTTGTGTTTATACTGTATTAGTAATGGTATCAGAATGTAGAAAACATCTGTGAGTGCAGTTTGGGGACTTTATTCATTAGCATTCAACTCAGTAATGCTGCTTTTTATCTTACTGTTTGTTTAAATGTGAACAAGCCTCTCATTTTCTCTCCGAGTTTACCTCTCTTAAAATATTGGTCATGCTTTTCTGAATGAGATCTATTATGGAAATTAAATACATTGAAGTGTTCTCTAAAATGATTTGTTATTTTGAAATATTAATTGTTGAAGCTATTAGTAAATGCGGTAAAGGAGAAATATCACTTAAATTTTTAAATTATTTTCAACATAATTTAATGAATGCATTTATACATATTGTAACATTTAAAATACATTCTATAATACTTATTTACACACTTTATAATATTCAAGTGATTACAATAAGTAAAATCCCTATTTCCATTATTCTTAAAGTGGCTTGATTTATACAGCTTAATTTGTTGGTATTTGTTTCTAAGACTCCCTCTAGTGTCTAGGTTTGGAAGTATTAGGTTAAACAAGTTTTCATTTTATAGTTACTACTTAGTGAAACAGATTTTAAAATACAGAGAAAATCATATTTTTTCTTCTACTTTTTTGCTTTTATTTATATTTTTATTTTATTTATTTGTTTGTTTGTTTATTTTGAGTTGGCGTCTCACTCTGTCGCCCAGACTGGAGTGCAGTGGCCGCTTCTGGCCACCACAGCCTCTACCTGCTGGACTCAGGAAATCCTTCCACCTCAGCCTTCCAAGTAGCTGGAACTACAGGCGCACGCTACCATGCCCAGCTAATTTTTGATTTATTGTAGAGATGAGGTCTTGCCAAGTTGTCCAGGCGGGTCTCGAACCCGCGGGCTCAGGCAATCCACTCAGCTCACCCTCCCCAAGCGAGGGATTACAGGCTGAGCCACCGAGCCCGGCTATATTTTTATTTTTAACAGACACATGACAAAAGTTGACTTATGTGTGAATCTTGCATAATTTAAGTAGTGTACGTTTAAAATCTTCTGTTCTACCACTTTCAGAGTGCCATTTTTCATATTATGGGGTTTTAGGTTGAAATTATTCTGATTTAAAATCACTTTTAGGTATACATAATTTAGATACCTTGCTTTGATCAAGATAGATATAGGTCACAGTGACCAAATATTGAAAATTCTTTGAAGACAGTGCATTAGGCTTTATATGGCAAGCTTTTGAATAACTAATAAACAGAAACTAAAACTATGGTAACTAAAGAATCTCCTCCAAAGTGGTAAACTGCAGCACCATTCAAATGATTTAGCTTATTTCTCCACAAATCAGAAATACTATATTTTTCAAAGAAGTATTATGCTATGTTGGGGGTGCTTTAAACCTCTTTCTTAATGATAAGTATATGAAATGAAACTAATGTCTTAATATATACTATTTGAAAACTGAGTATGTCCAGATACTGTTTACTTCTTGGTAAGTTATTGCATAGTATGTTCAGAAACTGTTTACTTCCTGGTAAATTATTTAAACCTAATAGATTTTACATAGGTAAAGACCCAGAGCCCAAACACTATTACTGTAAAGATTTATGAAAATGTGCAGATAGTTTACAGTTGTGTGGCTTATATCCAAAGTCCAAAAACACAGGGACAGTTTACTGTACATACACATGCAAATACATTTGGATTTTGGTGACTGAAGTTTGCCAGTATGGAAAAATTAGTAGCAAATTAAGTTCTCCTGGGAAAAAGTCATTTGTTAAGCTTATTTACAACTCTGTGCCATTGGTTATCAATGACTATTGTAAAAATCAGTGTTTCTATTTATATTGACAAAACATCCATGAAGATGACAATTTAAGAATCCCCAAAGTCTAATATATATACTATACTATTGCCTGAAAAGAAACATTATTCCTTAATATTAATATTTCTATTAATAATGGAAATCTGTTATCTGTGTACTTTAAACTATCATATAAATATACTCATTTAATACTTTATGTATTTCAGGGTGTTGACGATGCCTTCTATACATTAGTTCGAGAAATTCGAAAACATAAAGAAAAGATGAGCAAAGATGGTAAAAAGAAGAAAAAGAAGTCAAAGACAAAGTGTATAATTATGTAAATACAATTTGTACTTTTTTCTTAAGGCATACTTAAGTAAAAGTGGTAATTTTTGTACATTACACTAAATTATTAGCATTTGTTTAGCATTACCTAATTTTTTTTCCTGCTCCATGCAAACTGTTAGCTTTTATCTTAAATGCTTATTTTAAAATGACAGTGGAAACTTTTTTTCCTCTAAGTGCCAGTATTCCCTGAGTTTTGGTTTTTGAACTAGCAATGCCTGTGAAAAAGAAACTGAATACCTAAGATTTCTATCTTAGGGTTTTTGGTGCATGCAGTTGATTACTTCCTATTTTTCTTACCAATTGTGAACGTTGGTGTGAAACAAATTAATGAAGCTTTGAATCATCCCTATTCTGTGTTTTACCTAGTCACATAAATGGATTAATTACTAATTATAACTTCAGTTGAGACTTTATGATTGGTTTTACTGAAACATTGAAGGAACATCAATTTATGGGCTTCCTGATGATTCATTCTCTAGGCATCATGTCCTATAGTTTGTCATCCCTAATGAATGTAAAATTACACTGTTCACAAAGGTTTTTTTCTTCCTTTCCACTGCTATTAGTCATGGTCACTCTCCTAAAAATATATTTTTTCTATAAAAAGGGAAAAATAGAAAAAAATACAAGGCAATGGAAACTGTTATAAGGCCATTTCCTTTCCACATTAGATAAATTACTATAAAGACTCGTAAATAACTTTTCATGTTAAGGCAGACCCAGTATGAAATGGGGATTATAGCAACCATTTTGGGGCTATATTTACATATTACTAAATTTTTATAATTGAAAACATTTTAATATGTAAAAAGTTCTTCTCATAGGAATTCCATATAGTCTCCCAGTGTCAGAGTGTTCTTTCTTAGCATAACTTTAAATCTTTTCTTGAACATCATCTTTGAAAATAGTTTTAATTCTGTAGTGATTAAAGATTATTTGGGCCAGTTACAGCTTAGCCGGTGTTGAAGAGACCAGGGTTGCAAGGCCAGGCACTGTGAACCTTTGAGCTTCACAGCATGGACTGCATCCCTGTGGTCATCCAGTGTTGTCATGCGTTGGTTGGTCAAGGTGGGGACTAGGAGAGACTTTGGATAGCTCATCAAGATGCATTCTCGCTATGTGGTGGTCCTACAACAAATCAAGAGCACCACTTTTGTTTTTTAAAAAATCTTTAAAAGAATTACTTTTAAACATTATCTTAGAAGTTGAGAATGTGGGGGTGGGGGGTGCTAAGACATTAATTTGTTTTAAACAATGAAGTGGAAAATTTTTAAATCTCTAGGTTTGACTAGTTCTCTTAACAAGGCTAAATTAACATTTCATAAATGTTTTCAGTTCTGATCTATATTTAAGGATATTGCTTAAAAATTAACTAATGAAAATCTTTTCAATACATTTAAAATGTTACTTAATTAAAAATATTTGAGGTGAGATGGTGTGGTGAGGTGAAAATATCACTGGATTAGGAGGAAGGTGACTTAGCTAGTTTTAGATGCGTCTTTTAGAACTCTGATTTTGGGCAAATCACTTACTGTCCATTTCTTCACGTTAAAAGAAGTCATCTCAAAGGCTTTAACTTTTTTACAATTATGTGATTTACATTCAGTTTACAAAGGATACACCTGTTTGTCAAGCTCAGCACAATGTGTAACTTTTTAACCTGTGTTACCATCTTCAGTGCCAATCTTGGGCAAAATTGTGCAAGAAGTGAGGTTTATATTTGATTATACATTCTCCAGCTTTAGGGTTTCCCAGCCATATTAGTGTTATCTTGCCTGCCTACCTTTCACATGCCTCACGGCTTGGTGCAAGACTTACTGCTGCTATGGATATCTCCATGAAAGTTTCCCTTTAAGTCACATCAAAATACCCTACATCTTATTTCCTCAGGGCTCAAAATAATCTGACAGATATCATAATAGGATTTAACCTAATAGCTAATTTTCAGGTGGTGACTGATCTTTTGAACATCTCTTTGATGCCTGGTCCGTTAGTGACTGAGGAAGAATTTTCAAATGAACAAACAGAACCCTATCCAGTGGAAGGAGAATTTAATAAAGTTAGTGCTGAAATAATTCCGTATGTAACTTACAAGTAGGGTTAGCCCTGGGAACAGCAATACATTCCATTGTTTTAATAGCTAAAAATTTTACAGTGAAAAATATTTTAACATTTAATTAATAAAGCTGACTTTTCTGCAGAATTCATTTATTCAACAAATATTTATTGAGTGCCTACCAGTTGCCAGCCACTGCACAAGGCACAGGGGATAAGATATTCCCATACAAGAGACATTAACTCTGTCCTTACGTAGTGCTAGAATGGTCTGTAATGTCTTAGTAAGGTCTTTGGCACATGACCCAGAGATAACACAGTGCATATTTTAGTTTGGCAGAAAAGAGGTTTGGTCTTTTAGGTTTCTTCCAGTTCTAAAATAATTGTTTTGCTATGATTTCAATGTAACTGTTTAATCAAGCTACTTTATATAAATCACTTCATTGTTTTAAAGGAGTAAGCCTGATTATATTGTTTTCTTATTTGGCATAACTATGTGATTCTATTGAGAAATTTGTAAGCACACATTAAGTCATATGTCAGATACTGATATTAAAATGCCCAAATGTGTAATATTCGTTTTTCCTTTGTATAAGTAAAATAGACTTTTTAAAATTAAATATTGATTTCTAAAATTGTTTATCTGGGTACGAATAAACTGGTGCCTGAATGAATTCACAGAAAAATAAATTTATGTAAAAATCAGTACGATTTTTGAAATGCTATGCTAAACTATAGATCTATGGAACATTGTCTAGGTAGGGTATTAGGACATACAGAACCTCTTGTTTTTACACAGAGAAATAATGGCCATACTTCAGGAACTGCAGTGCAAAACTGAGGGGATATTTAGGCCTTTTGAATTTTTGATGTAGCTGGGCATTTTTAAGGTGGTAGTAATTATCTTTAATTATGTGAATTTTGAATGGTTTAACAAAAGGTTTGTTTTTGTAGAGCTTAAAAGGGGAAAGAATCCTAGAAATAATCTGAATGTTATCTAATTATTACAGCCTTAAAGATAAAAATTCTTAAGTTTTTTTTTAAGTGCTAAATTACATAGTCTTAGGCATTAACATGTTTGTGGAAGAATATAGCAGACGTATATAGTATAATTTGAGTGAATATCCCCAATTAGGAATTCTAGGCTCTATTTTAACTGAGTCACACTGCATAGGAATTTAGAACCTAATTTTTATAGACTAACAAAACCGTTGCCACCATTGCACAATTTTGTCCTAATATATATAGAAACTTTGTGAGGCATGTTACGTTACAGTTTGCACAAGTTCATCTCATTTGTATTCCAGTGAGTTTTCTTTCTAACCATCGTTTTTTCAAACTGTATATTCACATTTAGGGTTTTTTTGGTAGGGAGTAAAAACTAACTGAAGTCATTTCCATTAGTCAAAAAGTAATAATTCCTTGGTAACTATGTAGTAATGTTTTAAAAAACCCAGCAGTCACTTTAAAGCTGAATTTATATTTAATAACTTCTGTGTTAAAATTGGGTAGCATGAATTCTGCATTGAGAAACTGAATAGCATACAACTGGTAGCTATAAATTGTCAGAAAATGAAAATTTTTCTTTTTAAAGATATATTCATATTAGTTCTTGAAGAATAGTCATAAATAGATTAAGATTTGTGTTTTAGTTTAATAGTTTGAAGTGCCTGTTTGGGATGATGATAGGCAAGTTAGATGAATTTAGGAAAAACAAAGTTATTATCTGCAGAGATGTTGATTGCAGAGGGTCCATCCCCCCACCCATAGAGCTAACTGGGTTACAATAATGTTTTATCCAAGTTTTCAATTCCACTGTCTTGTGTTTTCATGTTGAAAATACTTTTGCATTTTTCCTTTGAGTGCCAATTTCTTATTAGTACTATCTCTTAATGTAACATGTTTACCTGGAATGTATTTTAACTATTTTTGTATAGTGTAAACTGAAACATGCACATTTTGTACATTGTGCTTTTTTTTGTGGGACATATGCAGTGTGATCCAGTTGTTTTCCATCATTTGGTTGCGCTGACCTAGGAATGTTGGTCATATCAAACATTAAAAGTGACCACTCTTTTAATTAAAATTAACTTTTAAATGTTTATAGGAGTATGTGCTGTGAAGTGATCTGAAATTTGTAATATTTTTGTCATGAACTGTACTGCTCCTAATTATTGTAATGTAATAAAAATAGTTATGGTGACTATGAGTGTGTATTTGATGGAAACTTGAAATATTTACCCCAAAATTGATGTGGAATACTTTATAAGCAATAGCCACTATAGTAAACCAGTGAATCTTTTATGTAGGTTGTAAGTTAGAAATACTCTTTATTTATAAAAGGAGCTGTGGACATTATGTAAAGACTTTAGTGTTTGCTTAAATTTAAAACCATATTTAGAAGTAAATGCAAAACAAATCTGCCTTTATAACAACAGAATAACATTATTACCTTTTATCAAAGTAATTGATACACAACAGGTGATCTGTTTAAGGCCCAAAGGCAGCCAGCAGCAAAATTAATAATGGAAATAATCAAACAGTTATGTATGTAATACCAGTCACCAGCAGGCTATTTCAGGGTCAGAAGCAATGATGCTATACATATTATTTCTGTAACTACATTTATTACTAGGTGCCATACGTTTTGTAGTGAATCTTGATTATATGCTAATAGACCAAATTGGGTTAAAAAATAAGGCACTTCTTCAAAAGTTAAGGGGATTAAATGTGTAAGAAATTATTTTGCTTATTAAAAATGTTCAGTAAATAGCATTCTCCTGTCAGTAAAATGGAGAAATGGACTATGAATAATTAGCTAAGTCCTAGTATGTTAGGAAATTAAGTATTATTTTCATTCAAAATGGGGTGCTCATTAATTTGTAATTGTTAAGATAGCTAAATTGCTATCTTAATACAAAAGTTGAACATAAAGGGTTGCTGATAAAAAGCTCTCAGTATGAACAGAAGTTGAAACCTATTAATCTTAGTTCATTAGGGTAGCTCATTATTTTTTACACAATATGTATATCTTCTCATTTTAAGTTTGAATTATTATACAATGGTTGTTATACATAAATTGGTGGTACTGGTTTTCACCTAAATTACAATAGTAATGATCAGTTAGTTTTGTTTGTATCTGAATAATAGCGTTGTTTCATAGCTCTGTATTTCCTAAGGAAATATAAGGCTTCTAGCTCTTTCATTACAAATTCACCCCGTCTGATAAGTTCTTTGATCTTCTCTGGGTCCTGCACATCTTTGTTTTTAAGGAAAACCGTCTTCAAACGCCTTTTAAAATAATCTCCTTTTGGATAGTCTCGTCCAAGATACAGCAGCTTAAAAAAGAAAGATATATTTTAAGCAATCCATGTCATATAATAACATATTTATAAAATTGGCAAAATAATTACTTACGTTTTTATAAAGACTCAGTACTTCTCCTCTTAAAGAATTGGCCATTTTCATTTATCATGTAAATTATCCACTTTTATACATAACATACCTAAAGAAAAGGAAATTTTTTTTTGCAAATAACTGCATTGTAGTCTTTAAAAAATTTTAAAAATGATTTTACACATTGGAAAATGTTAACTTTTTTTTACATTGATTCAGTAAATATCTGTTGAGCACTTTCATGTGCTAGGTACTGGGATATAGTTATGAACATGTTCAGATAAGATAACCTGCTCTTACAGAACTGACTTTTCCTAAGGGAGACAATATAAACAAAGAAGATAATTATGAAATTATGAGAAGTCCTATGAAAGAACAGGATAATGAGAGAGAAAATGGATCGTCACAGATATGTAGATGTTTACCTCCTTTTATGCCACAGTGGAATGAGTTATGATTAGATTTGAATCCCAGCTACAAATGTACATGTTACTTAACTTTGCTGAGCCTGAGTTTTCCTTATCATCAAAAGTAATACTGTCTTACCTTGGTCTCAAAGCAAGGCCATATCCATTTGAAGGACATTGAGAAGAGGCCTGATCAAATCTGGAAGGGTACTTATCCTAAGGAAAGCTAAAAACTAGCAGAACCTGTGTGTGTGAGTAAAGCAGATTGGAATTAATAGTAGAGGTACAATAACACGTGGTCAAGAGGCAAACTGGTTACAATTCTTTAATGTGTAGTTTGTTAATGCTAAGGAGTAGAGCCTCCTTAAAGGCACTATAATAGCCTAAACCTAGAAAATAATTCCCACTACTTGTGACAGCATAGAGATTAAATAATAAATTCTTTACATTGCATCCTATCAGGTGGACACAATTCCAATGTTCCCCATTGTAGTTGATGTTCATTTTGGTTATCTGATTAAAGTGTTTGATAAGATTCTCCACTGTAAAATTATTTCTCCAAAGAACCTAGTACTTTTAATGGAGAATACTATTTAGAAACTACAATCTGGATAGAATGTTCTAAAAACCAAGGTCTTGGTACTAGAAACACTCATTACTCTGAGATTCTCAGTTCCTCTAAGTAAAAGCTGCACGTGTATATACATATAGATTTAAGTGGAGTATGCTTTTTTTTTTTAAACTTTTATGTTAATATCCATATAATCTGATACCTACATTCAATTCCAACACAGGAGTAGTGCATTCCCCTCTTCTATAGGTTTAATACTCTCGTCTAATAATGAGAAATCTGGTTCCCATTGTCCTTAATAAATTTACTTTTTGGATCACCCCCTTCCTCCCACCATGAACCAAATTCCTGTTGATGTCATGACTTAGCACACAGTCTACTCTCTGAGCTCTGCCACCTTGTGCCAGATCATCACTGCCACTGTCCCACACATATATCTTCTCTTCTCCACATTCCCATTCCCCCTTACCTACTCCTCTTGGGCTCAACTTATACTGTACCACTTTCTCCCTTTCTGGAAGAGCCTCACCCTGTTACCACACCAACAACCTGTGCCACCACCCCCTCTACCCTAAGAAAGCCCTCCTTGCTCCACGCTAAGCTGCTGTGACACCCTGCCCCCATAAACCATGCTCACTCCATTTGGGCTTCAGTACCTCCTACTTAGCTACTTGCCTTGCCAGCTGCCCCAGACGCCCACCTTGCTCAGCTCTACCCAATGGCTTTTGGAATGAATTACTTTGAAGGGCAAGTGGGGAACAACTTCTATTTTAAAAATACATTTTCAGAGTTCCGGTAAGATGGCATCAGCATAGGTGGATTTGTGAGATTCTCCGAACATGAGTTCCCAAAAAGACTCTTACTTTTGTTCCCCCACCCCCTGCCCACCACCAGCCAAGCTGGCCCGAGGTCCGGGGACCTTCGGTCCCATGCAGGGCCAGATATTGCGGCCCCCGGCTGCTGCTGCTCCACTATATGTGAATCTTGCCCACGTGGGAGTTCCAGGTCTCGGCTCCCTCCCTGGCTACCTTGTCTCACCCAGCACCCAGCACCAAGTTGCCGGTTACCCAGGGAGGCTCTGGGCACCCGCCCCTCAGAGATACTGGTCCCATTTCTGGCTGAAGTACCCTGTGAGGGACCCAGGGCCAATCTCGCCGCCCACTGCCTGCCCTTTGGAGCTTTGGAGCTCTGGGCCTACCCTGGCTGAGGCACTCAGCGCGCGATCCCATGCTTGTGTAAGGGAACAGCATATCTTAAGGAGGTGCTGATCGGAGGCTCTCAGCTCCAGAGGAGGAAACTCCCGACCTCTTCCTGCACCCCAGACTGCTGGTGGCACTCTGGATCCAGCGCCCAGCTGTGCAGCTGATCCCTGGTGCCTCCCACTCCAGCACAGTCCATCACAGTGGAACACACAGGGACCCAGACAAGCAGAGAGAAAAGATCCGCGAAAGTGAAGCTGCCACCTCAGCCATCCTCCAGGCAGAGATTTGCATTGCCCCGCCCACCTATCAACAGCCTCCACCTCGGTTTCTAAGGTAACATTGCTAAATAGGAGATAAAGCCCTTCCCCTGCTGAACCAGACAAAGGCAACGTTGCAGACCTCCCAGGCAGGAGGCTAAAAAAAACAAACCCAAGCTGCCAGTAAATCTAGCTGCCTGCAAGGAAAACAAAGGGGAAGAGGCTGGAGATCAGAGCTGAAGAGACTTTAGCCATTCAGGAAAGATTCCAGAGCTAGTCTGATTTTGACTTTTGATTTTATCATTTTGACTGTTTGTTTTGCTCACTTTTATTTGCTTTCTGACTTACACTATCTGTTTCATGATTTTATTGGTCTGTCTCTGTGTGGCTACCAGTATCCTTTAGGGAATTTGGCTCATGTGTTTTTTTCACTTCTCTCCGGCCTTGTGTCTCTTTTTTACCTGTTAGTTGGTATGTATGTCTGTTTTCCCTCTCACTCTCCTCTCTAACTTCCTATTGAACCCCCTTTCCTCCATTATTTTCCTCTTTTGTACCTCCTTTTGATCCAGGGACCAAACCTACATATCGCTGCACAGATTATAAGGCAGTGGGAAATAGGTTCCAGTGTGCTCATACACCTGTGGGTGGATGCTGGAATCAGCATGTAGATTCTGAATCACAGCCTCCCCCTCAATTAAACCTCAGAACTGCAATAAGTACAGCCCGCAGCTCACACTCCAACCTCAAAAGAGCAAAGCCAGAGGACCCTCATAAGAAAAAACAGGAAATTGCACAAGTGAAACAAAAGCAAGCCCACCTTCCCTGAAAAACAATTAAAGAAGGGGAGGGAAAGGGGGGGAGAGAGGAAAATCTATGCAAATGAAGAAAAGCCAAAAGAAGAATATGGGTCTCTCCCAGACTCCTGGGAGGGCAGACACTGAGAAACCTGACTTTGGAATGCAAACAATGAAGAGCCCCCAGAATGACTAGTCCCAAACTACAAACCTATATATCAAGACATTAATGGAGATTAAAAAGAATTGAGAGACACAAGAAGAAACTAGGAAGGAGCTGATATCTGAGATAATAGTAATAAAGAATACTGTGAATGAAATAAATAACAAACTGGTAAACATGAAAAGCAGAATTACCCAAGCAGAAGAAAGAATCTCAGAGCTTGAGGACCAAAATATAGAACTAACCAAAACTCTTAAAA